ACAAAAAAAAAAAAAAAACATTTTTCACTATCCCCTTTGTTTTTTCTTCTTTTTTTAATCCAAATTCTTGAATATGAACATAGAAAATGCAAACCAAGCCAATTTTTTAAATCAACTTTTGGGTGTTCTGGATAAAAATACAAATCTGCAGTGATATGTTTTTACTGGACATGTACATTATTTTCATGTTGGTGTTAAAAATTGAAAATATACAACCAGGGCCTCCTTTCTAATGAATGCTGCTGCTTTTGAGGGGCGGGGGGGGGGGCATAGCTAGACTAGTGGCCACTCAGTGCACATACGCCCGGCGAGAAGTTTCCATGCTCACCTGAGGTGGTCGTAGGGCATGGCCAGCGTGATGTTGTAGTTGTAGCCGTGAGATTGGGCGTAGTCGGACCTGCAGATGGGGAGGATGCCACTTTCATCGCCGCCGCCGCCCGAGAAGTCGTAGTGGCAGATGGTTCCTCGGTGCCTGCACGGGAACCACACACGTTTGCGGTTAGGAAGTGGGAAGTGGCAAAAAGTCACGTTCTTCCTCACTGGTGAGGTCTTTTGAGAGCAGGCCCAGAAGGCTACTCATAAAGATTTCGGAAACCCCCTTAAGACATTGCAAAAATATTGGGGAAAAAAAAAATGTGAATGTGCAAATCCGCATGCAGGGCTCGACTATGAAATGAAAAACACAAAAACCAAAAGCAGAACATGATGAAAAACAATCGCCAAAAATACACAAATTTCAGACAAATTAGGAAAAACAAAGCCGAAAAAAAATACCGTAGTTAAAAAAAACAAAAAAACAGGATAAACAAAACGCAGACAAAAAGATTATTTGTGTATATTCAATGAAAAATATACACAAATGTGAAATAAAATACACAATTATCAAACCAGATTATCCACAAATATGTACCAATAGCTATTTAACCAAAAAACATTATAAAAAAATTATAGCCCAAAAAATAGACAAAGGGAAGCAAAAATCCCCAAAAATTTGGTGCCACACGCTAAACACTGCGGAAGTCTCGCCAGTACCTGCGGTGGGCCGTGAGGTCGTCGTCGGTGATGCACGCCCCCCGCGGCGTCTTGTCGTCGGGGATGTTGGCCGTCAGCAGCGTACGGCTGTCCGAGCGCACGTGTCTGACGGGATGCCTGCACGCGCGCGCCAAGGCACCCACAACAGGCCCTGTCTCAGTCGGAAGCCGGCGGCCGCTCGGAGCTCGGCGCTCTCACCTGTTGTGCATCTCCCACAGCTTGCTCCCCATCCTCAGCTCCCACACGCACACCAGGCCCTCGCCGCCGCCGCTCACCACCTTCCAGTCGTCGGCGCGCACCGACGTCACGCCCAGCTGGTGCGCGTACAAGGACGACACGCAGGATCCCGAGCGCAGGTCCAACACGCGCACCCTGGGAACAAAACACACAAATAGCAAAAATGGACAGTTGTATTGAAAAAGTTCAAACCTCGGGACTGACTGATATATTTTTATATTCTAAAAGATTTTTGCTGCTTTTTAAAAGAAGAGTGAGGTTCATTTAGTGACTCCCGGGATTCAATGCCACTAGACACTGGAGAAGAATAATTTTGTATCGAGCCGAACACACAGAAGAGCGTTTGTGGAAGGAAACAAATATGATGGAATTCCTCCGCTCAAGGAGCCGGGCAGACATTTTTTCTGACTGCTCAGCCTTGGCGGAGGTTCGACATTCAAGCTGGGAACGCGAGCTAACGGAATGCGGCTGCAGCTTGCGGAGGCGTCACGTTCCAACGCTGCTGAATTTCCAACAATGACCGCCGTTGATCTGCGGTCCAGGGAGATCTTTGCAGCGGACATACTCGACACTTTGCCAAACAACTCTTTCTTTGTCACACTACTTGTCAAAGGAAGCGGGACAAAGAACACAAAGCAGATGCTGCACCGCATTCATGGCCATGCGAAAACAACTTTTCAAACATCGAGAGGCTCGAGCCCATTTTCGCGTGAGAGTTGCGCACAAAACATGGGGCTGATAATTGTGAGTCTTTAAACTGGAGGCCAAACAAAGATTCAACCAAATCATGTTACTTTGACTGTTGGAATTCTGCCAGCGGCTTAATGGCAACTCGTCATGGGAAACGGCGCATACGCGGGCTAACAAAACTAGCATTGACATCATTGTGTTATGTACGAGTTATATTTGAAAACAAAGGTAGCATCATTTTTTTTATATGTATTCATTTTGTCCATTCATCCGATGCGCTTATCCTCACGGGCGTGCTGGCGCCTGTCCCAGCTGTCTTGAACCAGCAGACGAGGTGCACCCTGAAATGGCTGCCAGCCAAACACAGCCGATTAATTTTATATTATCATTAATGGACACCGATAAATTTCAGTAGTACCCCTAAAATGCCACCTGTCCACCTGAAATCTTGTACGAGTAGTTTTATTTTATTTGACCTCCAGCTGGGTGATCAGGATTAAAAAAATGATCACAATACGTTTTTTTCATATTGCTCGATCTTGATTATATCACTTTTTAAATATATATTTTTTAAACTTCCAGTCTTAAAGCATCTGCACTGAAAAATAAAAAACTACAGTTCTTCAACATTTTAAGATACTAAGAAATATATAGAAAAAAATGAAAAATCTAAATAATGTCAAATGCTAAAACAATTTTTACCCAACATTACATGTGCAGAATCCCCTCCTTCCCTAGTGTTTACTTTCTCATCTAAGATCTCGGGGCGCTGTACTTACAGCGAGTACCGACAGGCCCTTCGCACTGTATCCCATGTTCGTCTTTGTTTTTCATGTTTCTTGTGCAGAGCGTGCCTGTTAAGTCCAATTACCCCATGGGGTTGATTAAAGTTTTCTGAATCTGAATCAGAAAAGTATCAAACAACCCAATGCAGGGGAAAATGCATTTGAGTGTAAAAGGGTGCGTTGTCTAACTCTGACCAGCAGAGGACAGTGTTTACTGCCTTGTCAGAGGTTCCAAAAGGAGGAGCAACACATGTAGGAACGGCGCTGTGACTATTATTTTATTTTTTTGACGATGGTGATGGCTGGACCCTGTGGCGCAGCTAGACTTTTATCTTTGAGGGGCCATGGCTATCTCAGGGATCCGCAAAACGAAAAATGTTTTTTTTTTTTAACCGCCCACATTCTTCAGAAAGCGCTGATAAACATCCATGATATTATTCTCTCCGGAGAAGGATGGGAAATGTGGAAAAAAAAATTACCTAGCCTGGCATCTGGGGGGGTCCAAGCATGGTTGAAATTAAAGGAGGAGTTGACATTTGATTGCGACTGCATTAGACGTTTTGTGATTGGAATTAAAAAAAAGCCAACGTGATTATGCCAACACGCTAATGTGCTGTAATGAAGGCGCGGCATCAACAGATGGAGGCGGAGGTCCCTGGGGCGCCATTGCGCTTGCTGACCACCGATCATCTGACAGATCATCAATCGCGCAAAAAACACAATTTTAATCATAAAGATGACTGAAATGCTAATCACGCCTTTTTATCAGCCTACTTTAGCGTCGAAGAGTGCGGGCTGCAAAATTCAGCCTCTACACATTTTCAGTTGTTTCAACCCACAAAAAAGAGATTATATATGAGTGAGTGTTTGTGCTGTTTATGGTTTTAAACATTTTTTTTTTTGCATTTGTGTTTATTGTGTGGGAGGGCGTTTGTGTGTGTGTTTTGTTTGTGCATGTTTGTTTGTACAATTTTGGTGATATTTGAGCTTCCATGTGTGTTGTCTGTTTTAGTGTGGTGTGGTTTTATTCAACTCGATGTTGTAGTTATGTGTACATTTGTTTTTTTTGTTCATGTGCTTCGCGCTTTACTGTGTCTTGTTTTTGTTGGCGTATGCGACCCACCTCCTGTCTTTGTTCCCGCACACCATCATGTGTGGCGCGTTGCCCTCGTCGAGGTGAATGCACGTGAAGTCGCCTGGCGAGTCGCCGACACACGCCACCGCCTTCCCGGTCTCCAAGCTGTACACGTGGATCTGCGGGGGGGGGACGCTCGCAATCAGCGTACAACACAAAGAGTTTGAATTTAAATCCGATACGGCTGCTTGCCGCGTCTGAGTCAAAACGTAGACAGCTACGTTAGCCTCTCGCGCTAGCTGTAATTTCCTCGCTTTCCTGCCTTTGCCATTAGCTTGCTACGTCATCTTGTCATGCTAACTGTCGCGCGCTCGTTTTGCTCCCGTGACCCTGAGCCGAACAAGGACACAGGGCAAACTTTTGTGACATTTCAAGAATTGAACCTTTTGTAACGAAAGGACTTGGGCTGGGATGAACTGCTTGGGTTAAAAGATGTAGCCTGCTACATTACTTTAACATGCTAACTGGTCGGTTTTGCGCTCTCTCTCTCTCTCTCTCTCTCTCTCTCTCTCTCTCTCTCTCTCTCTTTATATATATATATATATATATATATATATATATATATATATATATATACACACACACACACACACACACACACACCGGTAAACGAAATGAATACAAATTTGTCACATTGTATAGATGTTTACTTGAACCTAGTCAGCTGACTTAATGGGTCAGTCAGCATAGACACAACTCAACTGTATTTATGAGCGCATGCACACACACACACACACACACACACACACACACACACACACACACACACACACACACACACCTGTATCTAACATGGGGCATTGAGTGTGGACATGCTATAAGCATGGTGTCCATGCTTAAGGATTCACTCGTTTTTTTTTTCTCCCCATTTTATGACATCCGCACACATTTGCAAACCCCGCCCATTTCGCTCACCTTGTTGCCTGCATCGTGCATGGCCCAGCCTCCGCGCTTCACGCCGAACGCAACGCGACGCTCGGAGGCTTCCAGGCAGGTGACAGGGTGACCGTACACCGAGTGCATCGTCCTCGGCTCCTCCTCTACTTCGTCCAGCAGGTAGACCGACTCCCCGGCTGCCACTGCGGTCAGCGCACGCCGCCGTCCCCTGCTGCCGGGAGCCAACACCAAACTATGAACCTGAAAGACAGGGAAGGAGCACATAAAACTGCACTCGTGTGTGATAAAACAATTATTTGTTTAGTTTGTTTCAAATGACAGACGGGCTTGGGGAGGCGGGTCAGGGCCAGCGTCCTCCACGCTCCGCGGTCGTCGGTGCCGTCCAGTCGGACGTCCGAGTCGACGGCGGAAGCCAGGATGGAGCCGTCCGGGCTGAGGGCCAAAGCACGGTGGCTCCCCGCCGTCTGGTGGTGGTAAATGGGCTCGCCGCCCGTCCGGGTGCTCCAAACGTCCACACAACCTGGAATGCGAGAGAAGCAACGCCAAGCCCCAGCTGTGGTTACCAGGCAAGCAACCTGATGGCTTTCGTTTAATAAAAAAAAAAAACATTCTTTGGGATGATTTTTTTAAAGTACAAAAGTAATAATAATCAAAATTATAAATAATATTGTCATAGTAGAAACAGCAATGACAGCAATTACAATTACAAACAGAAAATACATGTACTTAAAAATGGCCTATTTTTAATTTTTGTCATTTTTCTTATATTTACAAATGATAATGTATTATTTAAATGTAATTATTTTTTGAAGCAGGCCAAGTGCTGGAAATCTGTGGTCCCTTCTCAAGATTTCATCTTTTTTGCCCCCATATGGGGTTTTTGCGGTTTTTCCTTGCCCTCTTGGGGAGGATTAAATCAGATGTCGTTCAGGTTTGTCAACTTTGGGCCGGTGAAGACCTTTCAGACTCGTTTGTCATTAAGTGCTACATAAATGAAATTGAATTGACTTGGAAAATATTCTTTAATAATTATTGAACATTTTAACTTCGAAATTATAAAACCAAAAAAAACCTATTATTTCAGCCTCGTAGTTATTGTAAAAAAATATAACTGAAATGTACTCAATGAAATTGATGTATTAATTGTTAATACCGTCAAGGTATGCAGCCGCCGCCACGCTGCCGGCGACCTGCACGAGAGCGACGGGCGGCCTGGGCTCGGAGAGCGCCGACAGCCAGTTGGACTTAAGGTGGGATGACGGCAGGTCCCAGTGCAACGTGTTCCACAGCCGGACGTCCCCCGACGAGTACCTGACGGGCAGCGCATGACATGACTATGTTAACAACGCCGGCGCCACCGGCAACTTTTTTTTTGTCTGATTTCTGATCCTCACCCTGCCAGGACGTAGTTGTCACAGGAGCTGACGTCGCACAGCACCTTTCCCAGCTCAAACTGCAGCTGGCTGATGCAGCCAACACGATTCTGCAGCAAAGTAGTGAACAAATTACAAAAAAAAAAAAAACACCCAAAACTTCAGAAAAAAAAAATCCGATAAAGACATCATTTAATTCAAGACTTTACACCTTCAAACTCGGAAGATTTTCTCCAACAACTTAGAAGGCGTTGTTGGCTAGTGTTGCCATCTGAGATTGGCGTCAGTGTTTGTCACGTGACGTCGTGTGTTGAAAAGCACGGCACTCACCTTCCAGTTAGCGCGCACGTTGGCCGCCGCAACGCGGCGGTCTCGCAGCGCCGCCTTCCAGCAAGGCGAGTCGGACACGGCGGCGCCGCGCCCGTGGCCCTCCGCCACGCACAGCCTGAACCACAGCATCCCGTCCTCAGCCAGCGCTCGCCACGCCTTGCTCACCTGCCGGCAGATGAATGTCTTTTATGACTTTTGGTGATGTACATGTCAGATGAGCGCAACCTGAGTATCCAGAATGCAGGCACACCGGATATTTAGACAATTTATTTCCCCATAAGAATTCAGCCTTCACAATTGACATGGAAAAAAAACAATAGATGCTCAAGACAGTATGAGCAAGTCAATTGAATTGTCGTGTAGCGTGAACAAAGGCTAAATGACACTGGTTTAACGTGTTTTGGGGGAAACCTAGGCTCAAAAGACCACTTTCATATTTTATTGTCGTCTCAGACAAACATTTTGATCATATGACAAAAGGTGGTGGTGTTTTCTTTGAAAAATGCAAACGCTGGCTTCAATGGGTATGTTTACCCACCCCGTCTTCACCCTACCTGTGGCTGGGTGGACAAATAGACGGTTGTTTATTTATAGTCACTCACCTGTGCACATCTGCCGAGCTCAGTGCGGTTGAGATACTGGAATATTTTCAGGGCTAACTCATACGGCAAGTCAATGTCAAAGAAGGGGATGTCGTTGGCCTCGTTCTGCATTGAAAAGCAAAATAACAAAACAAACGGCGGAGAAAGCACTTTGTAGATAACTCGTGTCTATATCGAGATGGTTTCCGAGTGACTCCATACCAGGTCCAGAATGAGCTGATCCACCAGCTGCTCTTCTTGCTGTACTTTTTTCCGAGGATGCTTCAGGGACTCCCTGCAGGTGGCGGTCTCCTCTTGGTACTTCTTCTTCCTCTTGGTCCTCTCCTCCGCGAGTCTGCCCAAAAGCGGGCTCGTCCTGCCGCCCAGCAAGCCCCTGGCTATGGACACGTAGCTGGGCTCCTCAACGCCACCACTCCTTTCGGGTTCGAGCTCGTTCTGACCCCGACTCGCGTCTTTGTTTTCGTGACTGCAACTGGGGGAAGCAGCGGGAACGACCGGCCGATCCTCTTTTGGACGCCAAAGTTCACGTTTCCAACGTTCCCTGAAAGCAGCGAGCTCGTCCTCGGCCATAGCGTGCAAAATGTCAGGAATATAAAAGCAACATTTTGTGTGAACGCGTCGAAAACGACGAGGACATCTCTGGTACAGAAGTTGTGTGGCCAAAACAAAAAAATCACGTCCTTCACTACAAAGAGTCCGACGAGGGACACGGCGAGAGAAACGATTCCTTCCTATCAAGGAAAGAAGTTCCTCGTCTGTCATGGTCTACAAATATCGCGAATAAAAACTTCACGGTTTGTGATAATAGAAAATTGCATTGATAAAAATACCAATTTATTCGTTTTATCAAAAAAAAAAAAAAAAAAAGAGTTAAGTGTGGAGTCCAATAACGCCCTGAGTTCAAAGCCCGTGCATTTCGAAGCATGCGCACGACACTGCTTCAGAGTCGACACTTGAGTCGAGGTGCAGGTAAAATGTCATCCCAAACGACTTTTAGTATTCCATCAAGTGGCGGACTAAATGCATCAAAAAGAATAATTATGTAAGAATAAGACAAAAGTCGAACGAAACATTTTCTCATATTAACTTATTTCGGTTCGGCTCGCGGACACTTTTTCTCACAACATTTGTAGAACTCAAATGGATAAAAGTTGGTTTATTGGAATGTACATAAACACTCACGAACTTGCAATTTACCCAGAAACAATGCGGTGAAGATAACAAAAAAAAATATTCGAGAAAGAAACGTCAGGCGCGTAGAAAATGTATTTCACTTTTGGAGCAATTCCGCAGACCAACACTAATGTGTCTCCAGTGAGCAAGACATGACGTCAGTTTCGCATCGCGTGACCCATATTATGAATAATCCACGAGTAGGCGGTACACACCAAATACTTTGAATACAAGAAGCGGAGGCAGGGTGGGGGTCCCCACACCCACCCACGAGGAGCATCAGAAAAGGAAAGCATGTGCCACTTGATGCGCACCCAGCCTTGGCCGCCGCCAATCGGGGGCGAGCACACTCGTACGTCGCCGCCGCCCGACTGCGCGGCTCGGGCGCTCGGGACGCGCCTGCGGCTGATCGGGGACCAGCTGGACAGGCGTCGCAGGGAGATGGCCGGCGAAGACAACGGAGGCTTGACGTACGCGTGCACAGTCGCGCGCGTAGGCGTGTGCGCGCTGCTGCTGTTGCTCTTCACTAGACGACACTTATAGCAAGGTGGGTCGTCACGTGACTTTGCTTCAACCCTTTGTTCCGCAAATATAAATAAGACACTACACTTACTTCTCCACGTGTGACTTAAGTGTAATATTCACGTCATAAAAACTCATAATTTTACCCAAATCCAGTCGCTATATTACAAGGAAAAAAAGTTAAAATGATAAAGATGGAATATTGCAAACTATTTTAACATTAGAATTGTGTCCTTGTAAGATTTTACTAGTCTAGCAACATTACGTCTTAATGATAAACTTTTTTTCCACTTCGTGTTCTGACATCATGCCAACCTTCTGGCAACATTCTAACTTTATTTTCCTCAAAATTGTGACTTTTTTTGGCATTATATTACAAATATGTAAAACTGACCATGTATTCCCAAATTGTTACTTCCTCACAGCTTACAAAGACTTTTTTTTTTTGCATATATCGACCATATTCTCTCAACACAGCATTTTTTTAGCGTCGTGTTCCGTTATCCTTGAATTGATCATTGTGACCATAACAACTTTTCCAGATTTCAATCCGCCTCTACTTTTGTCACATTACAATTTGGTTCTCGCAATGCCATGAAGCCTTTTTTGCTGCAAGCGTTCCGACTTTATCATCACAACAGGCAGATTGTTGTTGTTGGGTTTTTTTTTTGTTTTTTTTTACAAAATATAAACATTTCTTTTCAATTCAAACTTTTTCTCACTTGACTGAGTTGCATTTGCCTGTGTCTCTCTCGTACGCAGGCAACTCGCGACCGCAGACAAAAGACAAGGATGACGAGCGTGTAACTCAACCAGTCCGAGGCACCGGAGGAGAGGCTACGTGATGAGGAATGAATACGCCTTGCGCCTCTTCTTTCTCCTCTGCCACATGCAGTGATGTCATCTTCCCTGCTGATTCATGGCAATGAGAAGGGGGGGGGTGTTGAGAAGCAGTGTCAATTGTGTGTATAGACGGACGGAAGCTGTTGAACCAAGTTTCATCCAGATTGCACATTTGGCTGTCATGTAAACGGCGAGCGTGTGAAACCAGTTCCGAGTCGTGGAAAGGTTCCAGCCTCGGGGCCAAAGACTGCGGGCTCTCTCGATAACGCATTGGACGGATGAAGTATGGCGATGTAATATGAAGACGACAACTTATTTGTAATATTGAAATGTATTCTGGTAGAGTTACGGTTTTTTCATTGATTTTTTTTTTTTACTGTTGGATTTTAATTTCATCCTTACAATCGAATGAATACCTTTAGCAGCTTTAACCCTCCGTGTCATCTCACATCTTCAGCCTCATTATAAAAGATGTTGCATCACACTTCAACAAAGACAAAGTAGGAATTTGACCAGAATTAAGTGATGTTAAAAGTAAAGCGGGAAAAATTCAGATTAAAAGTAAAAAGATTAGATTTTACTGGAAAAGGTGCCGGATGGTAATAGAAAAAAAAATCATCAATTTACCAGAATAAAGATTAAATATTATGCTGAGTTTATACTTTGACGACTTCATTCTTGTACAGTGACTCTTTGGTCATTGTATAATTATTCACAGAACATTTCAACTTCATCTCAATTGGGAAGGGTTTTTTTTTTTTGGGGGGTGTGTAATATCACATCTTTATCCTCACTAGATGACAAAAAAAGTTTTGCATAAAACTTGAACCAATCTTGAAAACAGGAATAACATAGTAATATTCATAAGAAAAAAAATTAGGACAAAGAGTAAAATGTCATTTTGGCAGAATATAGTTGGAATATTATGTTTAAATTGTCGTATGACGACTCCCGCACACCAAGCGCCATCGGTGCCTCAGCAACAAAATTATCAAACCTGTTTGAAACACGGCTCCTAAAAAATGCCAAACATTCCAACTGTTTCGCATAACATTTGGACTTATTTTTTTGAATTACCATGCGGCTTTAGTAGATTTGGAAGTGAGCGGAGGTGGTCCCGTCCTTCCAGCATCGGAGTGTCTCCAAGACGGTGGCGCGACACAGAGGGCACGCTCTCTCTCGGTCCAACCAAGAACTTAGACACTCCTCGCAGAAAACATGCTGGCGACGAACAAAAGCGACTCATCACGATTCACAGACATATTTCTTTATTTAAACAGACTGGGCGTCTTCCAGTACCTGACAAAGGAGGGCAACGGGCTCGCGAAAATCCGCCTGGCAAATAGCGCAGACGTCGCCGGCCTCGCTGCACTGCTGGCCGCCGGCCCGCACGCCGTAACTCTGCAAAGAGCGGTCAGCAAAAACAGGCTCTTCATAAAATGCCAATTTGCTTTTGCGCAAGACTCAAACGTTGCATGCAAACTGCGGTCATGATTGAAAATGTACTTTTTTTTTGTTCCAAGTGTAATTTTTTTTTCAAAATAATTTTTGTGGTGGGTACTCAAAATGGGTGCGCAATGCCATTAGGTGTAAAAAAAAATTTTTCTCCCAAAGTGGAGTTTTCATTCGCAAAATTTAAAAAGGGGAATTTTTGTGAGAGGGGGGGAAAAAAAAGATTATTCATTCAATAGCAGCATTATTACTCCTCATTAATTAGTGGCCTTTGACATTAAGCGGAGGTGTAAACAGCAGCTACAAGTCATAAAAAGGTCATGAAGCATCATCAATCATCATTAATTAGTGACCTTTTGACCCCTAATGTCATGCACTGAATTTTGACCTTTGCTACATTTTTATAATCTCACTAACATGTAATGGCCAATTGCTGTAAATTCTATTAAAGAAAAATCTGTATTTACCTGTATATTGCTTTTCATTTCACGTGTGATTTCTTCCATCAAACAGGAGCAGTTTCCTCTTTAAAATTTGGATTGTTTTTGTTTGTTTTAAATCTGAAAAAGGGGGTGCCCGACAATAAAAGAGTAATGGTTTCCTTCTACGGGGTGGGAAAAAAATTAATTTATGGGTCTCCCTCCCAAAAAAATTAAAAGCAGAAATTAATGAACCAAATTAACTTTGCTGCTGTGAATTGGTAATTTCCCCATTGCGAGACTAATAAAGGTTTCTTATCTTATCTTATACTTTTAATTGGAAAGAGGTGCGGGAGAGTAAAACTGTCTGTTGGGTAAATGAGTTTGATTTTCCCAATTCAAGACAGAAAGATTATGGCAATTAAAATTTCGGTTGGAATTCAAAAGAGGGTGCGTGAGCCTCACCTGAGAGTGACAGAGCAGGACCAGCGCCTTGCGTAGGGCCGACGCTCGGCCGCAGATGTCAAGCGACTGCAGTCGACACAGACAAATGACAAGAAGATAGCAGGCAATTGAGCGGGGCTCATTTCAAGCATGTTGAGGTAGTTGTCACAAAAAGGAATGGGGGTGTGCGACATGATTCATCAAAAATGCCATCTGGTCTAATAATTACATCTCTACATTTTTTTTCCTGAGCAGGAGTGATTTTGTTGTCACAAAGTAAATTAAATTTATGTACTTTCTTCTGTCAAATTTCAAACTCCAAAGGGGGTGCGAAAATTTCAATGAATGGCAGCCTGATATGACCCCCAAAATTTACAAACAGCCCCAATTCAATGTCTTTAAGTAATAGAATGGTGAAATATGAGCATTTCCTTTCCATGACATTGAAAATCAAGAAGGGGGGCGCAACATCAAATGTTTTAAATGACACATTTACGTTAATGATTGGCCGCGCAATTTCTTTATGTCGGTGAAAAGGGGACATATTTGCATATGTCACTTTTAAACTAAAAATGGGGTGTGTGAGAGTAAAAATGTGTCATGGCCATTTGGTATAAAAATTACACATTTACATAATGCAGCTCCCTATACAATTTTTTTCACAAAATAAAATTAAAAAGGAACATATCCCTTTTTTTACAAAATGACATTTTAGACCAAAATGGGGAGTGCAAAATTAAAAATAATGGTTGTCTCCTTGCGCACAGGTGTTTTGAGAAGCATGTGAGCCTGTAGAATGCAACGCTTCCTCATGCGGTGCATCCACTCAGAGCAAAGTCATCGACTGAGTTGACTTTTCCGGAAGAGTTATTTGCTGCGTCAACTTTGCTGCAGCTGCTCTCCTCTCGTGACAGTTCAAACTGCAA